AATGTTGAAAGACCTTTTGATAAAACGAGAGCCTTTAAAATCACCTAACTTAAAGGTGGGGTAGGTAAGTTTGAGAAACTGGCTCGAGATACTCTTTTTGTTATATTCCATGGAATGCTCTTAACAGTCGGGCATTGTTTCTGATAGCAACGTTTCTGATAGGGCCGTGGGTGTAAAGCCTTTACAATCACCTAACTTAAAGGTGGGGTAGGTAAGTTTGAGAGACTGACTCGAGATACACTTTTTGTTATATTCCATGGAATGCTCTTAACAGTCGGGCATTGTTTCTGATAGCAACGTTTCTGATAGGGCCGTGGGTGTAAAGCCTTTAAAATCACCTAACTTAAAGGTGGGGTAGGTAAGTTTGAGAAACTGGCTCGAGATACACTTTTTGTTATATTCCATGGAATGCTCTTAACAGTCGGGCATTGTTTCTAATAGCAACGTTTCTGATAGGGCCGTGGGTGTAAAGCCAGCCTACATTTCCGATATTACGTCATATCGGACGCAAATCTGGATCAGCTCCGTTGTTCCCCCGTTTTTAGAGATTTGGGTACGGAGGAAAAGAGAGAGGGTTTTATTTCCCGACGCTGCGTGAGTTCCCTGACACACCGGGGACACATAGTTATGTATAAAAGATATAAAAAAGTGCATTTTGCATGATAGGTCCCCTTTAAATAAGAAAAATAAAAAGGTTTCTAGAATAATGATGAGAACAAAATTGGGTGTATAAATAAAGACCATTTTACTAAAAGGTATGATTTCTAATGAGCTTAACCATTGTTCAATTTAGGAAACCCAATTGATCCTTTAATGTTGAAAGACCTTTTGATAAAACGAGAGCCTTTAAAATCACCTAACTTAAAGGTGGGGTAGGTAAGTTTGAGAAACTGGCTCGAGATACACTTTTTGTTATATTCCATGGAATGCTCTTAACAGTCGGGCATTGTTTCTGATAGCAACGTTTCTGATAGGGCTGTGGGTGTAAAGCCTTTAAAATCACCTAACTTAAAGGTGGGGTAGGTAAGTTTGAGAGACTGGCTCGAGATACACTTTTTGTTATATTCCATGGAATGCTCTTAACAGTCGGGCATTGTTTCTGATAGCAACGTTTCTGATAGGGCCGTGGGTGTAAAGCCTTTAAAATCACCTAACTTAAAGGTGGGGTAGGTAAGTTTGAGAGACTGGCTCGAGATACACTTTTTGTTATATTCCATGGAATGCTCTTAACAGTCGGGCATTGTTTCTAATAGCAACATTTCTGATAGGGCCGTGGGTGTAAAGCCAGCCTACATTTCCGATATTACGTCATATCGGACGCAAATCTGGATCAGCTCCGTTGTTCCCCCCGTTTTTAGAGATTTGGGTACGGAGGAAAAGAGAGAGGGTTTTATTTCCCGACGCTGCGTGAGTTCCCTGACACACCGGAGACACATAGTTATGTATAAAAGATATAAAAAAGTGCATTTTGCATGATAGGTTCCCTTTAAATAAGAAAAATAAAAAGGTTTCTAGAATAATAATGAGAACAAAATTGGGTGTATAAATAAAGACCATTTTACTAAAAGGTATGATTTCTAATGAGCTTAACCATTGTTCAATTTAGGAAACCCAATTGATCCTTTAATGTTGAAAGACCTTTTGATAAAACGAGAGCCTTTAAAATCACCTAACTTAAAGGTGGGGTAGGTAAGTTTGAGAAACTGGCTCGAGATACACTTTTTGTTATATTCCATGGAATGCTCTTAACAGTCGGGCATTGTTTCTGATAGCAACGTTTCTGATAGGGCTGTGGGTGTAAAGCCTTTAAAATCACCTAACTTAAAGGTGGGGTAGGTAAGTTTGAGAGACTGGCTCGAGATACACTTTTTGTTATATTCCATGGAATGCTCTTAACAGTCGGGCATTGTTTCTAATAGCAACATTTCTGATAGGGCCGTGGGTGTAAAGCCAGCCTACATTTCCGATATTACGTCATATCGGACGCAAATCTGGATCAGCTCCGTTGTTCCCCCGTTTTTAGAGATTTGGGTACGGAGGAAAAGAGAGAGGGTTTTATTTCCCGACGCTGCGTGAGTTCCCTGACACACCGGAGACACATAGTTATGTATAAAAGATATAAAAAAGTGCATTTTGCATGATAGGTCCCCTTTAAATAAGAAAAATAAAAAGGTTTCTAGAATAATGATGAGAACAAAATTGGGTGTATAAATAAAGACCATTTTACTAAAAGGTATGATTTCTAATGAGCTTAACCATTGTTCAATTTAGGAAACCCAATTGATCCTTTAATGTTGAAAGACCTTTTGATAAAACGAGAGCCTTTAAAATCACCTAACTTAAAGGTGGGGTAGGTAAGTTTGAGGGACTGGCTCGAGATACGCTTTTTGTTATATTCCATGGAATGCTCTTAACAGTCGGGCATTGTTTCTAATAGCAACATTTCTGATAGGGCCGTGGGTGTAAAGCCAGCCTACATTTCCGATATTACGTCATATCGGACGCAAATCTGGATCAGCTCCGTTGTTCCCCCGTTTTTAGAGATTTGGGTACGGAGGAAAAGAGAGAGGGTTTTATTTCCCGACGCTGCGTGAGTTCCCTGACACACCGGAGACACATAGTTATGTATAAAAGATATAAAAAAGTGCATTTTGCATGATAGGTCCCCTTTAAATAAGAAAAATAAAAAGGTTTCTAGAATAATGATGAGAACAAAATTGGGTGTATAAATAAAGACCATTTTACTAAAAGGTATGATTTCTAATGAGCTTAACCATTGTTCAATTTAGGAAACCCAATTGATCCTTTAATGTTGAAAGACCTTTTGATAAAACGAGAGCCTTTAAAATCACCTAACTTAAAGGTGGGGTAGGTAAGTTTGAGAAACTGGCTCGAGATACACTTTTTGTTATATTCCATGGAATGCTCTTAACATCCCAATAGCAATGAATATCTTAAGTGCTTTGACAACAAATCCATAAAAAATGTCATCTGTGGAAGCCGTAGTACTGTAAAAAGCATGACAGGTAGGCCAGGTAGGTCATCCAATCATTTTAGCCGGCCCGGCTAAAATGATTGGATGGCCTACCTGCCTATCAGCCTTCCATCTGTGCACAAACTTATCTCGTGCCCTCATTGGTCATGTGCGCGTTCGTGTGTGTTGGAGGAGGGGCTCTGTAAGGAAGTAGCACATTTCTTCCGGCTGTGTATTTTCAAATTCTAGCGCACTCGAGCTGGTTTCTCAACAATTACCTACCCCACCTATAATAAAAACCTGAAAATGTTGTCATACATTTCTGAAAATGGAAGTAAAAATATATTTTTCCCTATATTCATTTGCTAAATAAAGTCCATCTTAGAATGAGCCGAAGGCAAATCAGGCTCCAAGTAGGGGCATTAACCTATTAAGCCAGAGAGCTCCCTGTACAAGGGGCTGCGGGGTGTTTTTTCACGAAACTGTGTCTCAGGGCATCTTAATATTTAAAAACCTAGAATGTGTCATACTCACTTAACGGTAATAAACTCAGCTAACTGAAGATATGACATTTTTTTACCGAAACAAAGCACAAGGGAAGTCTCACAAGAAGCGTCTAAATGAGCGAAAAAATGCTAACGCACTTAGCACAGAACTCAAAATACCCTTATTACTTATCATAACTGCACATAGAAGATATCCGAATAAAGCTGAGAATCCACAGATTTGATAGGTATTGGTATCATCACTGAGCGATCAGAACTCGCGACAGGGGAAGCAAACACAGACATCACAACACGTAGCATTACGTTAGGTTAGGGTAGCTGTTATTCTGATCAAAAGTCGTGTTCAATGGCATTAAAACGATAAAAACAAGGTTGAAGGTTAATCTAATGGTTAATCCAATGTGTCTGTCACTTCTAAAATATTATTGATAATCCATCATTCAATTTTTATGTCAAAAACTGAGATTTAATATTAGCTGCTAATGATAGCCACCAGAGCAGCTTCCGGTTCCGGGTCATTCTGGCTGTGCATCACTCATTCACCTATGGGTAATGTTTAGATGGTGGGGGCCAGAGATATGGCAAATACACCCAAATAACCCCAGAAGTGTTTTTTTAAATTTATAAATCTCTCTAAAAAGGTCAAATGTCCCTTGTTTTGCATCAATCTTGATACAGGGTACTTATTATATGTTATAGTTTGGATTCCTAAAGCTTTTAGTCTACTATCCCATCATTCAAGGGTTGTTTTCACTATAAGTATTTTTTTTTTTTGGACGGACACTATAATTTGCATTTTTTTACTATGTTCAATCTGAATTTACTTTAAAATTTAAAAAATCTATATTGATTCTACATCCAACTCACAGGTTTATCATTACTTTGAGGAAAAAGATTATGAATTTACCCCTTTTAGAATTGAAGTTATAGTCATTTGTTCTGGGAATGTCATTTTCGAGCCTGAGACCTGAAAAACAGGCTCAGGGCTTAACAGCTATGTCAATAGCCTTCTTCCACAAATCCTAGCTCCCAAAATTGAACTCCCTTAATCAACCCACATCTTTCTTCAGACTTGGCCTTCATTTGTAAAGTTTATTGAAGCCAAATCGCTCAAGGAGCTTAGGGTTGGGCTATGGGGTTCTGATTCCGGTAGAGTTCAATGCAAACGTTTAATAATACAGAAATCCATGGGCTGTTCCATGGAAAAGTACACTGAATTATATTCAAAAGTCCATACTTTTATACCCAATTCAACTCCTCCTAATGTGGAGCTTATTCTTATCACTAGTTCTTTGATCCCTCCTTGAATCAATTGTTTTTTACACCAATAGATATAATGACGGCCTCAGCACTCCTTCTACATCCATGCATGCTGATGGCATGTTTAAGCCTGAAGAAAAGGTGTTGCCTAACACGTACAAACAAATTGTGTAACGTGGACATTTTTCGTTACACAAGTGAATGGCATGTCTAGCATACTGAATGACATGCTCCTCCCTTATCTCAGGGGCATCCTCTAAATACTATACACTATTTAAAGAGCTCTCCGCTTTCTTTCTTGTACTGGGAGTAGCTCTGTTCATACCTCATCACCAGAGAAATGGGAAAGGTTAATCTCGAGGATAATGACACCAAAGAGAAGAAAACAGAGTTTAGCTTAGTACGGGTCAAAGATACCTGGAAGTGCAAAAGAGGGAAAAAGGTCACAGCTGATAATCTGTCTGCTGCAAAAATGTGAGTATAACATTTCTTTTTTTTTACTCACAGTTTTTCAAATTACTTCAGTAAGATAGAAAAAGTGTGATAAAAGTATCTTCTTCTTTGTGCACGTTTCTTATGCAAAGTGTTCTTTTATCTCTGACTTCTCAAACTGATTTTATAAGTATGAATGAATAATGCTGCTGCGTACTGTGTAAGGCACATTTCCAAATAATGGTAAAATGTGTCCCCTTTAAATAAGAAACAAGCCAAACAAGACTGAACAAGCATTCCAACTGATCTATGCCTGGGGGGAAATGATGGTTGTATCTGTATGGCAATCTCTTGTGTCAATTCAGTGGCTGTGAAATGCCAAACACTCTTTACAATATCCTGTTTTATGCATTTAAATCATGAATAAATCACTGAATTGTATTTCAAAGGTAATAGGATCTGAGTTTAAAGGTACATTATTCCAGCTCCTCAGGTTGGTTTCACTGAGATCGGACTTTTCCCTGAATTCAACTCAAGGCTGCAGTTTGTCAATTTGACAGGTTTGACAATGCCAGGCTTCAGTGTTAATACTCTAGTTGTCAATCAACAAAAGCACTTCAGAGAGCGCTATTATGTAGGAATGTATGGGGCGGGTATGAGGGAAAACCTCAACTTTCAAATGTCAATGGAACTACAATAAAACAGAGAACAGGTGCAGGAATCGGGGGAAAACATTTACCTACCTAATGTTTATTTAAATGTTATGTTTAGGTTAGAGAACCTGCAAAGGTGTTGGTTTTAGACAATGTGAGCCAACAGTCTACAAATGTATACTAGATTAGTGTTAAAAATACAATGTTACATTATAACCGACATAACATGATTGATTGATTGATTGATAACATATTACATTTTAAATTAAGTGTTTTGGCCTCTGAAAGTCATGCTCTGTCTTAAGCCAGATCTCAGTTACAAAAAGTATTACAATTAGTACATTTATTAGGTGAGTTACATGAACCAGACCTTGATGTTGAGGAGTATTACTATTGGCACAGTTTATATGCCAATCCTGTGAGTTTGGGAGAGGAATATGTTTGTGTTTGTTCCATGTTTGTTCCCTCTTAAAGAGAAACTCCTGATATAAATGTGTTTGTTCTGCTTCTAGACATAACAGGGACAAGACGTTTTGTAGGCACTGCATTTAATCTCTGAGTGGTGGTGTATGTGGGAGGGGGGGCAGACAGATATTCACTATGTTCCAGCTGAATGTAGTCCTTGAGACTCAGACAGAGCATCTCTGTAAAAAATGAACCATGCAACCAGAAACTGATGCTAAAGACACAATGACCCTGTTGATACCAGCTGCTGTTTTTGTGAAGCTTGGTCAAGTTGGAGGACAGGTTGCAGATATAAACTAAGAATTTGACATGGCTATGGTTTGCCAGAAAGAAAAGAAAAAAGCTGTATGGCATTATCTCATGTTTTGACTTGGTTTGACAGGGTTTTGATGTTCCCTGCAGTGTCCTTTATATGTCAAAAGTAATGCATAATCTAAAGTCAAAATGGTAATCAAAGCTAATGAACTGCTAATAGAGTGTAAGCATTGCAATGTATTGAGAGCAACAGAAAATACACCTACAATAATGGGAACCTTTGGCATTATAGTAAATCTTCTTTCTTTGACATGTTTTTTTGTGTGCAGCTATGAGAGCATCACCGAAAACAGCACCAGTTGGACAGTGGTCAGCCCCATCGTCTTCACTTACAAGGTTATTGAGACCCAGGACTTGCTGGACCCGAGCAACCAAACGCTCCTGCTGGGACACATCAACGACCCGCAACAGTTGGAGGACATGAAAAAATCAAACAAGCAAATTAGACGCTTTTTGGTTGTAGACCAAGAAGTCTACAAGTTTTATGGTCCCAAGCTCACTGAATATTTGGAAACCAACAAGGTCCTGTACAAGATTTTAGCTCTACCCACAACTGAGGAGAACAAATCCATGACAATGGCCTTGAAGATCCTAGAGGAAGTCAACAACTTCTCCCTTGACCGTCGCACAGAGCCCATCATTGCCATTGGTGGAGGGGTGTGCCTGGACATAGTGGGCCTGGCTGCCTCACTCTACAGAAGACGGACCCCTTACATCAGGGTCCCGACCACTCTGCTCTCCTACATCGATGCCAGCGTGGGAGCAAAGACTGGGGTTAACTTTGCAAACTGCAAGAACAAGTTAGGTGCCTACATCCCCCCCGCCGCTGCCTTCCTTGATCTGTCCTTCATACAAACTGTTCCACGACGACAGATCTCCAACGGACTAGCTGAGATGTTAAAGGTATGTTAACCCCGCAACTCACAGTACAGCAACTAATCAAGGAATTACAAGGGCTGTAGTATTGTTAAAGTTTTCTGGTCCAGTCAAGTCACCTTGATTGTCAATCTTCCAGTGTGTGTGTACAGACAGAGAGATCGGAATACTGTTTCCCACAATCCCGAATATAAAAAGAAATGTATATAAAATGAAAAAATATGTGTGCAAATATGTATATATATATATACGCAGTCAAAGACACATTTTTACATGTGCACACATTAAGACCTAAATAAAAACATAACAATCAATATATACAAAATACCAGTCACTTCAATATACATTGATTGTTGTGTTTTTATTTAGGTCTTAATGTGTGCACATGTAAAAATGTGTCTTTGACTGTGTATATATATATATATATATTTATATACATCTATGTATGTTTGCTATTTATTTTGCAGATGGCCTTGATGAAACACAGAGGCCTCTTCGAACTTCTTGAGACACATGGCCGTATGCTGTTGGACACTAAATTCCAAGCTGACAACAGGGTATACGGACGCAACTGCATGCAGGTGGCATCACAAGCAACTCGTATAGCCATCGTGACCATGCTGGAGGAACTTGCCCCAAACCTTTGGGAGGATGACCTGAACAGACTTGTCGACTTTGGTCACCTTATCAGCCCAGCATTAGAGATGGTAATTGATCCTTTGTTAAATATGTACATTGTTGATACATGCTATTGTTTGTACAGTATATTGTAAAAATATCATGTTTTTGATTCCAGGAGAGTCTTTAACATTCTGTCTCTGTCTGTCTTTGATCTAGAAAGTTCTCCCATCTCTGCTGCATGGTGAAGCAGTGAACATTGATATGTCTTACATGGTTTACGTGTCCAAAGAGAGAGGTCTATTGACAGAAGAAGAAAAGCACAGGATCATCAACTGCATGGTGGGCCTGGAGCTGCCTGTCTGGCATGAGGCGTTTACCATGGAGCTCATACAGAAGTCTCTGCAGGACAGGCTGAAGCATTCGGGAGGCTTGGTCCGAATGCCACTCCCTGTCGGTCTTGGGGAAGCGGGTAAGTCTCACCTCAGCAGTTATGGTTTGCAAGGTAACAAGCATCACATTAGGTAACATACAGGTAGTAGCAAACCAAAATAGCTGGCCATGTCAGCCTACATTTGTTTACCAGGCCAGTCTGAAGAAACATGCTTATTACCAAAGTCTTCAATTCAAGAACTACCCATTCTTCCTACAAATATTTTACCTTTTCTGTCTCTGAATGGCTACTAGCCAAACCAATGGATAGTATTTGTTGCCTGGGTGGATAAAACAGGCCTACCAAGCCTTGATTGGTTAACCTTTTAAAGAGCCTGTGACAGCATCCCAACAACTGAATGAAACATTGGGCTACTAGTAATCTCGAACCGTCAGTTTAAAAAAGAAGGTGCGATACCGTTCCGATAAATATCAATAATTTCGAACATCGCGGGGAAATTCCTTCGACTCATTTTGAAGTTTTGGGGGAAGCCGGAAGTGACGTCAATGCGGGAACGCTTCACTGTGCGGCGAGAGAGCCAAACACGGACAAAGTGTGTTGTCATGCGTAGAAATGGTGAATTACTGAGTTTAGGCACGTTAATAACGTTTTAATTAAGTTGACTACAGTATATTCATATTTGTCAGTGCTTTCATGTCAATTCGGTGAACATAAACATAAATGATCGTGGTGAAGATGATGATTAAATTAGGATTAAAAATCGGTAGTGAGAGCTACTGAATTTCCTCCCGTAGGATGTGATATAAAAACAAATCGATTATTTTTGTAGTTGTAAACTCAAGTGGATGAAACTACATGTATTAGTGCTTTCATGTCAATTCGGCGAACATATGATACATTAAATGATCGTGAGGATGATGATTTAAAAATCGTTTGTTTGAGCCGGTCTGCATTTCCTGATGAAAAAACAAACCGATGCTTTTTGTAGTTGTAGTACACCAACATGGATTAAACGTGTGGTTTTTTTACCGCCAATGTTGGGGAAATTAATGGATAAAATGCACGGATTATGATTATTATTATTATTCCCACTCCGATCGGGACACTAGGTCCACCGTTTCCCCGCAGCGAGGCTCCCCCCGTTGACAGTTTACGTGGGCTGGGTGTAGTGGCGGACTGGCCATCGGGACGAATCCAGATGGGCCGGTACCGAAGTGGGCCGGTCGGATAAGTCACTAGCACATCCCCCACTCCCCCCGTTTACTAGCGGTACCGAAGTGGGCCGGTCGAGAGTCCCGGGATGATTTTTAGTCCCAGTCCACCACTGGCTACATGACCGTATTATCGCCCATATTGACGCACCTAATTCCTAAACTTCTAACAGATACAACATAAACCGATCCTTCAGCCTCATATGAGCTCTCAGACACGTTCAACATTAAACTGTCATCGCTGTCTGAGCTTGCTGCTGTGTGCGCCATCGTGCGTTTACAGATGCTAGGATCCGGAACGGTGCAGCTGGAGCTCTTGGCCCACATTGACGTCACACATAATTTGGCGGGATTTGAAGAATCCCCGAGAAGATCCAGAATATGGTCAACATTGAAGGGGAGATTAATGGTTATCAAAGTACAAATATCCAAAATCAGTTCAGTAACGGTTTTCAAGGGGACAATATTTACTCAAATTGACGGGTTTGGATGATGGGGGAAACTCGTGTCACAGGCTCTTTAAGCCCGTAGCCTGTTTTTCAGATTTCAGGCTCGAAAATGACATGCCCAGAACAATTGACAATATCTTCACTTATAAAAGGGGTACATTAATAATCTTTTTTCTCAAAGCAATGATACGCCTGTGAGTTGGATTTAGAAAAGTCAGAATCAATATAGATGTTTTTATTTTAAAGTAAATTCAGATTGAACATAGTAAAAAAATTTAAATGATAGTTTCTGTCCAAAAATAAACCATTACTTATAGTGAAAACCACCCTTGAATGATGGAATCGTAGACTAAAAGCTTTAGGAATCCAAACTATAACATATCAAGATTGATACAAAACAAGTGAAATTTGACCTTTTTAGAGAGGCTTAGAAAAAAGAAAACACCACTTGGGTGTATTTGCCATATCAATCAATCAATCAATCAATCAATGTTTATTTATATAGCCCAATATCACAAATGTTACATTTGTCTCAGTGGACTTTACAGTTTGTACAAAATATCAGTATGACAATACGACACCCTCTGTCCTTAGACCCTCATATCGTACAAGGAAAAACTTCCGAAGAAAACCCACAGTTTAAAGGGAAAAATGGGAGAAACCTCAGGGAGAGCAACAGAGGAGGGATCCCTCTCCCAGGACGGACAGACGTGCAATAGATGCCGTGTGTAAATTGAAAAGATAATACATTTGCAACATAGGTAGTCCAAATGTTTGGAAATGCATGTGTGTATAATAGGAAGATGAATCCACGAGGATATCCATCCAGGACCTATGATCCAGGACCACAGCCACGACTCAAGATCCAGGACAGAGGAGCGCAGGATCATCCATGACTCCGGATCCCGGCGTATACAGACACCAAAAAGAAAGACATTTGGGGAAGCTGGGTTAATCGGAACATGAGAGTACACAGGTACAGACAGAGAGAAGGAAGAAGTAAGATGTCCCCCGACAAACTAAGCCTATATCAGCAAAACTAGGGGCTGAATCTAATCAGCCCTAACTATAAGCTTTATCAAAAAGGAAGGTCTTAAGCGCACTCTTAAAGACGGATAGGGTGTCTGCCGCCCGAACACAAACTGGAAGCTGATTCCACAAATGTGGAGCTTGATAAGAAAAGGCTCTGGCTCCCATTGTACTTTTAGAGACTCTAGGAACAACCAACAACCCTGCATTCTTGGAACGCAATGCCCTGGAACCCATTGGTCGATTTTGGTGATTGACACCTCTTTTGAACCGTTAAAGCCAATAGAATCGAGGGGAAGTTCCTTAATCCAACATTTCCATTGAGGAGTGAGAGTGATGCGCACGCAGCTTGCCCAAAACCGGAAGTTCCTTTACACTCTATAGAAAAATATGTTTAATTCCATAAATATGATGATGGATTATCAGTAATCATTTCAAAGTGACACAGAGACATTGGATTAACCTTCAGCAGCGTTTATATGCATTGTAATGCCATTGAACACAACTTTTGATCAGAAAACAGTAAAGATACGAGTATTTGCCGTTTTGGCCCCGTAAAGTGAAGTTGTGTGTTGTCTTTGCTGGCTTTCGCCGCAAGTTTTGGTCACACAGTGATGATACTTATTGGAATCTGTGGAATCTCAGATTTCATATGATATCTAGTCTGTGCAGATTGCATGAAGTATAAAATATTGCTACCGTGAGTAATGTGCTAAGTGCGTTAGCACCCTTTCGCTTAGTGCTAATTCATAGGCTTGGCGTTAGACTTGTCTTTTGTTCAGGTACAAATGGTTCATATCGTCAGTTAGCTGAGTTTCTTCCCGTTAAGTGGTTAAGACACATTAATAGGTTGTTAAATTTTAAAGATCAAATGCAAAGCTTTTTGTATAATTGCCAGTACAATCAAAATCATATAGCTACAACACTATCTAAGATATTGCAGTATTAAAATCGGAGATAATATGAGTCTGGCAATGCGCAATATTAATTGTGTTCAACCCCCAACACCAAGTCCGACGATTTATTTTCTCCGCCGCTCCTCCGCAAGATGGCGGCGCGTGACGTCAGATGTGCCAAACATATTTCCACCTGGTTTATCAATCACAGCGGCTTCCGCCGATAGTACAACTAGTTTCGTCTATCATGTCTGATTCTGAGTAGACTATAGACTAAAAGCTTTAGGAATCCAAACTATAACATATAATAAGTACCCTGTATCAAGATTGATGCAAAACAAGTGAAATTTGACCTTTTTAGAGAGGTTTAGAAAAATAAATTCCAGGCGGACTCACCTCACAAGGACGAGGTGGATGGGAATGCTAACAGTGAATTAGCCCCGAGCGAAAAATGCTAACCTATCACTCCTAGCGCCCTTATTACTTATCCTAGCTCCACATCCAACACATTGTTTATGATCGTAAAGACACAGAATCTAACGGTGCCCACCTCTATAAGCAATAAAACTGCAATTCCGTTATCTGCGTTATCTGCTGTGCTCCGTGCGCTTTGAAATCTAATCAAAAGTTGTTTACCTCAATTCTTTGGCGTTTCTGCATCGCCCGGCTCTTTCGTTCTTTCAGTGGTTTCTTGTGCTGAAATGTGGAGGGGACGGCTCCGGGTTTCAGCCTCCGACGTGCTATTAATGCTTCTCCACCAACAGACTTCATGATAGCAGGATCAACGTCGTATGCATCACACGCGAAGTGGTCAGAACACAACTTGCTCCATTTTGTCGGTTGCCATCCAACACGATTCACTAAAAAAATCCAATTTTTGCGGATGATTTGGTCTTTGGGAAATGCATGTAAAACTCTCCCAGATCCCGCACCGTTCGTACAACAAAAAGCTCAACAATAACCCATGTTAATTCAGTTTTCTTTTCGAAAAACATGTGACTGAGACTGCGGAGTCGGGATATTTGGTCCAGAGACTTTTTGGCCACTATTACGTCACGCGCGCGGAGGCTGCTGGGAATTACATGTCAGAAATTCAGACGGCATTGGGTCGAGTTTTGGATCAATAAAAAGCTTTTTTTGGGGTGTATTATCTCGATTTAAATCAAATAAAAAATACAGGCAGTCTTAAAAACAACATTTCTATAAAAATGTAGCGTATTTGGAAGCTTTGCATTTGATCTTTAAGAAACGTTAAGAAATGTTAAGAAACAAGACACAGTTTCGTGAAAATTGTTGTATTTGCGGGGGCTATCGGGTTTAACAGGTAAAGGTAAGAGAACCAAGGATTAGGGTTAGGGTTAGGCATTCAGTTGAGGGGACTGGGGTCCCTTCTTGTCTTTAAGTATGAGTGCCAAACCTGACATTAACCAATTGATTTTAATTGCCTTAAAAAGATGATTGCACCAAATTATCTTGTATGGGTCTTTTTTGAATGCATTGCCAACCAATTTATTTCCTTTCGTAAGAGTAGTTTGATCTTAAACAAGTTGTCATGCTATTCAGAGTTTATGTAAAGCACTTATATACGGTATATTTAAAGCATGGTCTAACTGCTCTCCTTTCTTTTATTGCAGAAATTTTGAATGACACATCCTGTGAGATCCTGCACAGAGCTTACGTAAAATGGTGTGACGAGCTGAGCGTCTCCTCGGACAGCAACTCTGACTCTTAAACTGCCCACAGCACGACTGCATTAGTTCAATTGTTTTGTTAGAGAAAATGTTTAAATGTTGTTGGGAGTTGTATATACTTCTGGTTTTGTACTCTTTTTCTCTACTTTTGTTCAAATGTTTGGGAAAAATAAACTATAATTGATAGCATTCACCTATGCTATTTTCACATTAAAAGATCCAATTGTCGGGGAAACCATATTAGCACTGCTTGAAGCTATTTCTATATGCTTCTGTCCAGCATGTGTTCTAGTGTTAATTTGTTCAAATGGGCCCAAATATCAAATTGTTTCTTTCTCCCAAGCAGTTGTGGCGTTAGACTTTTTCCAAGTCCTGTTGTTGCCATTTTATTTTCTGTTAAATAAGGTTAGTTAGAGCCGAGTCTTGACAGTTCACAGTGTGCCGCTGGCCCGGGCTGCGTTTCACTTCGGTTAAATGGATTCCTTGCGTCCCTCACTTGCGTCGTTTCCCTGCGACTAGTCCCTCCCACCAGGGAAGCATGGAAGGACGCAAGGAAAGCACAATAAGCAGGGAAATGAGTTTTAAGAGCAATGGGACGTCCTTTCCTCCGGAGCGTCACGTGAAGCGACGTCCGTTTGTGATGACACCGAACAGCTGATCGTCTGACAGCAGCTCTGTCCCCGTCATTTTCACAAACACCCCCGCCTACACATTTACTGACACAAACATTTGTATGTAGGCCTATGTATACAAATATGTGTATGTTGCAGACCCAAATAAATAAAATCAAATAAGAACTCATTCTCAAAAAAGATAAACGCCATTCTTAAAATGTATAAACGAACATTAGTTGGATTAATATTGATTAGAACACAATAGAAATAAAGTGAGAAAGTGCTCCGGTGTAATTCAAATGTACCGCCGCGTGCAGCACAGACACACAAGAGGTTTCTCAATACTCAAATTTCCCCTCCTCGACTCCTATCCTCAACTCCCCTCCTCGACTCCTATCCTCGACTCCCCTCCTCGAGACTTGGTGCCGCCCCCAGGAGATGCGAGCGGAGGACTGAGGAGGGGAACCGAGGAGAGAGGAGTGGAAGCAGCAGGCGGTTAGAAAAATGAGAACTCCTCTCCTCTGAGCGGTCATTTTAAAGAGATGTCCATTAATGATGACAGGAGGCACAGCAGCCCTCTGTCTGATGGACAGATGTGTTCATGACGACTTATATTTACTTTTAATTCATTCACAGTGCGGTATAATGAGACAATAACAGGCTACAGATGCGGACATATACACATATATTTATAAATATATACAATTTCAGAATCAAACAAGTATGAGAGCACTCTCATAATAACGTAACACAATCAGAGACTGGATATATCCCCCCACCCCCCCACCCCTCTCTCTGGTTGCTGAAATGGGGAATTCAAATTACGGGCCAAAAGTTGTACAAGTATTAAAAGTAAGCATAGGACACCAAACCAACTGAGACCCGTCTGTCCGCCGCATCTACGCACTGTACAACACACACCTACACACTGTACCACGCACACACCTACACACTGTACCACACACACCTAGCCCCTTTCTCATTTCATCAAATCCCCCTCCTCGACTCCTCGACTCCTCGACTCCTCGACTCCTCGACTCCTCGGTCCTCCGGTAGTGACCCGGAAATGAATTTCAGCGCGCCATGTTGAAAGACATCTAATTTCTCGAAATGCACTTCGAGGATCGAGCGTCGAGCGTCGAGGAGGTTCTCTGGAGGAGCTATAACCGAAGATACACTGATGGGTCCTCCACGGTCCTCCACGGCTCCTTCGTGGATGCATTTCCGGCAACAGAGATGTTTCAAAGAGTCGTGACGCACGGCCGGACTTATCTCAGCCAATGACAGCTCTGCATGCATCCCCTGGATATTATTTTATTAACTGCTTTCATCGCGACGCGATGTTTACAGTGAGAACAGCTGTGAGGTCCATGCAGAAAGCAGAGCAGTGTGTATAATATATATCACTCGTATAACAGGCCTACTCTCTTTATTTGCTTTAGTTTAGTAGATATCTACAAACAAAGAGCCGATATTTTTTCTAAAACCATTTAGTGCTTCACAATAAAATACGGAAACACTTTTTCCCATTGACTTACATGGGGAAAGAGTAGTCTGTAACTCGTTGGATAATTTTTTTTAACTAAATAAACTACCCAGTATGAACACTTGTATAGCCCTTATTAAAAACATTCGTTCCTCAAGTTGTAAAAATGTGCTAATAACGTTATTCTGAGAGTTATTTCCCTCGGCATTATGAACGTGCATCTAACCCACGGGACCGCGCTGCCCGGCACGTTCAAGTTACGTGTCCCGACCAAGCCCCAAGGAAGTGCGCCGGAGTCTGATGAGAATATTCGTGCTGGTCAAACGGCGGTACTACACTTCCTTTAGGTTGCTGGGCCCGGAAACACTTTTTCCCATTGACTTACATGGGGAAAGAGTGGTCTGTAACTCGTTGGATAATTTGTTTTAAACTAAATAAACAACCCAGTATGAACGTTTGTATTGCCCTTATTAAAAACATTCGTTCCTCAAGTTGTAAAAATGTGCTAATAACGTTATTCTGAGAGTTATTTCCCTCTGCATTATGAACGTGCATCTAACCCACGGGACCGCGCCGCCCGGCACGTTCAAGTTACGTGTTCAGTACTACATGAGTTTCTCTTTACCCATGGATGCACAATAACAACGGACCATATCGCCTTACTGCCAGCCCACGGAGCTGTAATAATGGATATATTGCACATGTTTGCTGTAATTCATCATTTGTAAAATATTATACTACATGGGCTGTATGATGTAAATCTTGTACCGTAAATGTTGTATTAAATAAAGTTAATATTACCGACGTAGATTAACGTTCCTGTAGCTTCTTATTGCACTTGCAATTGTTTTAGTTAGCCTACAATCACAGAACTATCCTTTTACTCCATCACATTTCAAAAAGAAATAGGCTATTGTTATTTTAACTCCACCACAGTAATCCATCATCAGCTTTACTTTTTAGATAAAGTTTTAACTCACAATTGATCATAACAGGCTTCAACATATACATTTTTATATATTACCAAGTGGTTTCATGTACAACCCACACAAGTATCATGCTAAATGAAGCTCTGTTGCTTGGATATCACTAGATCCTGATGTCAGCGTAATATAAAAGTACATAACGATTGATGTGTAATTTAGCATAATTTACTAGCTAGCCGCTAGCTGCTAACTGCCGCCTCGTTAATATAAATCCAGTACCATGCTGTCATGAACGCGCGGTGCTGTTACGTGTACGCAAATTCACGTGCTTAATGTGAACGAGCCTTTTGGGCGGCGTGGTTAAAGTTGCGCATGTTCTATGAGTGCACATACGGGTACTTCTCAGGCATGCCGGGTAATCTGTGACGTTTCGCTCTCTCAAAAGTTGGGCCATTTTGTCATCATACGCCATTGAGCAACTCTCATAAGAATGAATGAGGCCCCGCCTCCCACGCTGTATCCAGTTCTTATTATACATCCATGGTCCCGACCAAGCGGCAAACTGTGGGGTAGAGCCGGGAAGCCAATACGGAAGTGCCACACACTGCAGTTCATACATGGGCCGCTAGGGACTGGCTGCAGAAAGGAGCAATTTCCATAGACCCCCATGTTAAAATGCCCAACTTTACAGCAGAAAAAAACATGTTTCTACCCATGGATGCAATACATATTATTATCGATATAGTTAGATTCCACCTTCATGATTATGAATCTGTGAGTGAATTGTTTTCTAACACGACCCTTTTATTTATATTAGGTCTTAAAGTTTTTGCATAAATTAGGGCGTGGTCACTTTGATGGCACTGTCAGCTAACAGCAACTTGTCCACTCTGCTAGGCTACAACCATAGAGGCTACAACGTTAGTTAGTCATAGTACTGTACTTGACCCTTTAGCTTTAGCCGTGTTCGTGGTGATTGTGCCTTTTAGGGAATATTGTTACAAATACCAGACAATTAAAATATCGTGCTGTGCGCTTGAATGTACTAACAGAACTTCCAAGAAGTCTAAAATGATAATATTATACATGTTAACCCCGTTCGCAGGTGTTTGTGTGCTTGGTAGCTTAGCTTGTTACTTATTAGCCAGCTAAAGACGTAACCCTTTATGCATACATATACATTTTAGTTTATGATTCAGCCTTGGGTAAGACTTTTATAGTCTATGGCTAGACGCTCATAATGCTAAACGGGAGCAAATGTTAAATGGGGACCCGATTATCCCAGTGGTGGCCACCGGAGCTAACGGAGCCGCAGGGGGCTAGCTCCAGCCGGCGTCCCGGAGCTAGCCTACTGCGGCTCCGTTAGGTCCGGGCGGTGGAGTCCGTCTTTTCTCAACGTGTGAATGACAAGCATTAAGAATAACAAAATATAGCTAATTCTCTTGCAGATTGTCTCATTTGATTATGAATGTAACGTTTATATAGGGGTACTACACTGTTAGCAGTAACTTGGTATGCACGTATTTCATGTTAGCTTAACTTCTTAGCCTGAGCTAGCTCTGTTTACTTCCAGTTCGGAGGCAGCTGGCTCCGCCTCTTTGCCCTTATTTGTAGCAGGCGGGATTAGACTCTGACGTCACAGTCGAGCCGTTAGTGGCCGACTCCGCCTACTAAGGGCTTCACGGCAACTCTGCAGAATCTATGGGTGAAGTCACGGACACTACGTCCATTTATATATACAGTCTATGGTCCCGACCTTTATATATACAGTCTATGGTCCCGACCAATCCAGCCAAGGGTGGGGGCTGGAGCTATTGGAGCTACAACGAGCCGTTAAAGGCAGAGAGTGAAATTCATTGAATACAATACACGTAGTTTACAGAGATGCTGTTTGAAAAACCAATGTGAGTTGCGTTTATCTTTACCCATGGATGCACAATAAGAACGGACCCATATCGTCTTACTGCCATCCCACGGAGCTGTAATAATGGATATTGCACATGTTTGCTGTGATTCATTATTATTCTTTCACACACAGTGACGTCACGAGCTACCCACAATGCAACACGCGCCATATATATATATAAATGCGCCATTTTCCTGGAGGTGCTAATATTCTGGAAGTGCAAATATAAACAGCTAGCTAACTAGCCAGGCAGAGCGCAGTAGGTTTTTTTTCTGAATTAACGACC